ATTTTCAGACATGAATTATAATAAACCACTGAAATAAAGATGAATAGAGCACCTGGCTGGTGTAGCTCAGTGGATTGAGTGCGAGCCTGTGAACCAAAAATCATGGTTTGATTCCCAGTCAGGGCACATGCCCGGGTTGCAGGCCAGTTCCTGGCAGGGAATGCACAAGAGGGACCATACACTGATATTTCTCTCCTTTCTCCTTTCCTTCCCTTCCCCTCTAAAAGATAAATAAATAAAATCTTTTAAAAAAAGATTAATCTATTGACCAGAGCATGTATAGCCCAGCATTAGGACATAAAGTCCAAAATTCTATAACCTAGGCCAAAGCCAAGGTATTCATATGTTTTATACACACACACACACACACACACACACACACACACACACAGTGGGAAGAGCAACAAAGTAAAATAAAACAGAATTCTCTTCTGAAGGGCAGGCCCCTTGTAGTACATGCTTCCCCCACTAGATGAGTATTCAAGGAACCCACCTGTATCAGTGAACCCACTGGTCGTGTTGTGAGAGGCTGTGTTCAGCTTCAGTGAATTTTTTGAAGACTCTTTCAACACATTTGCCCAATTCATGATGAGTGCTTTAATAGCACATCTGCCCATACCACGCTGAATGTTCAGCAGTTTTTAACCAAAAACAACATAAGCCTCCAAGTCCTACCCTCCCTATTCACCTAATCTCACCCCTGAGTGACTTTTTTTTGTTTCCCAGGATGAAAAATATTCTCAAAGGGAAATGTGCTGATGTGGAAGAAGTAAAACAAAATAACAGCAGCCCTAAAAGGGATCAAAATCAATGAGTTCAAAAAGTGTTTTGAGCAGGGGGAAAAACATGTCTAGATAGGAGTATTGCATCAAATGGAAAGTACTCAGAAGGTGACTGGTTTAAGAATAAACACTCAATTTTTTATAAATAAATTACCACTGAATTTGGAGAATTGCATATGGAGAATCACAAAGGAATTCTCCATTCCTTTCAGCTACTCTGCAGTACAGAGGGTAGTCTACTGGCTGCCTCACCCTAGTTGTTCACTCTAGTAACTTGCTTGCTAAGTAAAAGACTTTCCATTTGCACTCAAGTTGGAATTTAGTACCAGGCTCTCTATTCCACCCCCTTCAAGACTGCCCATTATACACTTACTCAAGTTCTGATGATTCACCTACCCATGCTACTAAAGTACTAGAACCTAGAACAGGTGACAAGTCCTCAATTTCTGATTCTTTTCCCCAAACACTAAAAGGTTTTACTTAGCATTTTTAATACTGACTTTTATACATGTAGACCAAGCAACATTAAGGGGTCTTTTAACCCCGGGTCAAAGAACCAATACACTCAAAGAACACACTAGTCACTGTCATGGGGTTCAAAAGAAGAAAACAGCACATTTTGTTTTAGCCCACTTTAACATGCCTCAAGAGAGGCAAATTGAAAAGGAGTCCAATTGGTCCTTCCAAGTATACAATCTGGTCAAGATGAGGCTGAAAAGTAGCTGACTACTGGAGATTAATGACCCCAACAAAAGGCAAAAGTCAGTTATATCCCTTAGTTACACATCAGTCCAAAGATGTGGACACAGTGGGATTGGACCCACAGTCCATGGAGTGAACTTTTAGCACCAACTCACATCTCAGCTAGGTGTTATTAGTCATCAGGCTGACCAGACATGAGTGGAAATATTGCAACATAAAACCTGCCTCCCTACAAAAGCTTCGACTTCAACTTAGGTCTTGATGATCATTTTTACAGACCAACACAGGCATATTATTATCACCTGCCCAACACTCAACCCTAAATTCATAAATAGCTAGAAGTGAAAGAGGATTCATATACTAAAACACATTCAGGGTTCTCAATATGCAATTTTAAATAGTAGTATGTAAGACAAAAAACCTGTAAGTTAAAACGTATGCTCTCAATTGAACATCCACTGAATTATGAACAGAGCTTGAGCTTTAGCTGCCAGAAAAGACCCAGGTAACCACTGCTACCTCCTCGCCTACTCTCAGTGGGGTGACTTTTTTGTTTGAGTAGCCCATCGGTACCTACAAAACAGTAAGAGATAAGACTCTAGGAAAGGCTATAGAGAGAATCAAAAGGATTCTCTATCTCCTTTTCCAGCTTATTTGCCCAGTTTCTTCCTCTCTGACTTAGGCTCTTTTCATTATTCCTTTTGCTTACTAGGCTCGTTATCACTGCTGCCCCTTCCCTGTCTTTCCCCTTCTTCCCACCTCCTCTCCACCCCACCCCTCTTCTCTCAGTCCTCAGAAACTTGCCAAAGTCACTCCAGCCAGTTTCTGCACTACCTACCTAGTCCCAGAACCCAGGAGGCACCCTCCCATGCTGGCTACTTTTTAGTCACCTCCTCAGGAAATTGTTCCTTGACCGAATCCCAATCACCTTCTTTTATACCACTCTTGTTTTCTTTGGCACTCATCAAAATCTGATTTGTTTACTGATTATGTGTCACTACCCAGATGTAAGCTGCCTGAGAGTGGACGTTATGCTTATGTTCATCTTTGTACTCCAGCACTCAAAACATCGGCTACGTAGCCATTCAAAAATGCTTATTGAATGAATGAATTCTGGACCTTTTATTCAATAATTCCAGACCAGTTAAGGTGACAGCAGCAATCATTCTTTTCTTTTGTTGCATTTCTGTAAAACACCTAAACATGCTGTCACTGGTACAATCAAAGCATTTAAACTCAAGTCATATAGGGCCAGGATTCATGCACTCTTTATAACCAAAGGATCCCAAAATTAGACACTATCTCTTAAAGTTCTTCAGAAAACAGAGTTCCAAATTCAACAGAGGATTTCCGAAGAAAACAGGAACAACAAAATATGAGTCATCACGCTTCACGGTGAAATCCCTGTGACAGGATGAAGGAGCAAGCACACTACTTGGAGATTCTTTTTTTTAACGAAAAGAACATCAATAAACAGACCTTTTCAAGCATTCTTTGCTTTTTTCAAATAATTTTCTCACATCTGTCAGCGGTTTGTGTTCTTCTTTAAAACAAAACTGAACAGATCACATTTTCTAATTTAAAACCAGCTATACAAAAAGAATCAGCAAAATAAAATGGACATTAGTACAAACCAAATGTCATTGAAGACTCGTGTGCCAGACACACAAATGGAAAAAAAAAACATAAAAGAGCTACTGTCCAAGTATAAAAACAAAAAAGTAAAAGAAAAGTAATATTTCTTTTCTCTGAAGTGCATCATGAAGTGTGGATGGAGAGAAACACAGAAATCCAGAATTAGCCTAACATCAAATCATTTTGAAAAGAGCTGACAAAAATGTAAATTCCTCATAATTAAAGTATTTAGAGCAAGAGTCTGGGCTATAATGCTATGTAGAAATTCTTGCAAGGGCCTTGGAATTCCAGTACTCACAGGAGAAAATGCTCATCTGAAGTAGGAGCTACCAGGCTTTAAGAGGTACCCTCAAAGTGACACAGCCTGCAACGTAAGTATTTACAAAGCTTGCATTTAAGATCTGGATGGAGGCTGAAATTCAAAAGAGGTGACCAAGGTACCAAGTGCCACAAAGAGGGGGAAAAAACCCTCGATTACCACCTAACCATAGAGAATTATCATGAAAACATGGGTATACTGGGAAGAAGTGAGGGGCAATGGGAAAAAAAAAAAAAAAAAACATTTGTCACTCTGTCCCACTTCCTATATAGGATGGATACAGGCAAAGCCTCCAGCCCCACTACTTCGGGCACAAACGGTTATCGTTCATAGCAAAGATGCAGAACAAGGTCTTCAGGTCTGAGCCCCTTAATTCTTGAGCTGTTAATGATTAAAGAGAAGGGTGGGGGTGGGGAGGGAAATGAGGGCGGAGGGAGTTGGGAGATTCACCCACCACCTCCCGCCTGGGCTCCCACCTCCCAGCGCTTCCCCGGGGCACAGGACCAGAGTCTGCACCACTTCCAGGGCAGCTCCGGCCCCCAAACCCTAGGTTGAGGGGTGCTAGCGGTGAGGAGGCAGGGACAGTAGGTTAAGTTTTCTGAGCCCTGTGACTGATAGACTCCCCTCACCTCCTCTCCTTCCAGAGGAACCAGTCCAGACAAGGCGCTGACTTCCACTCCTCCCCTTACCCCCACCTTTTTCCGAGGTACCCAACCCCCGCCCCTTCAGTACTGAACGCTCCCCCCTTTTCCTCGCCCCCTCCCCCCAACAAACTCACAGTTGCTCCAGAGGTTCCTCCAGTCAAACCCTTTCTGGAAACGACGGCGGCCCGGAGAGTCCAAACCACCTACCATCCCCGCTCGCGTTTCCAAACTCCCTATCCCCGCCGCCGCCGTCCCCGCCGCCGCCTCTTCCTCCACCACAGCAGCCGCCTTGTCTTCATCTGCGGCCCACCCGCCGCGGCTGCCCCGGAGCCCCGCCCCTCCATTCCTCCAGCATCATCACTTCCGGTAACCCCACAAGCTGCCGGCTCCAGGAGGAAGAATGGAAGAGGGGAGGGGAGCGAACGGGTAGAAGATTGCATCATGATCTACGCAAAGACGTTCGAAACCGTAGCCAAGTAAGGGCAAAGATCTACCGCTGGATCTAGCGCTAGTGGAGGTAGGAAGAGCTGGACTAAACCACTTGGGTGGGTGGAAGAGGGGAAAAGATAGCGAAAGAAGTAAGGGGAAAACAGGGAGAGAGTATGAAGTTGGCTATTCTGTTGGGAGGAGGGTGGGCTAGAGTTTGAGATTTGAGGGAGACTCGAGACTACCTCAGACCTGGGACAGTTCTCCCACAGAGGTCCGCCCAGTGGTTAGGTCCGGTCGGGCCTGCAGGACCGGAGTTCCGTTGGCCACCGCCGCTCAGCTAGGCTTGTGGAACCACCTCCTCCCAGTTGGGCTGCGGCGCTTCTGTGGGTGGGGGAAGGCAGGACTGACGCTGAGTGAGTGTACTGGACGCAGACGCGGACACCTGGCGCGGGAAACTGGGGTAAGGGGTTGGCTCCCCTGGGGCAGGGATGGGTTGGGGGTGGAGGGCTACAACGTTGCTAGGAGACGTTTTTGTGTGACCCCATCCTCGCGGGGGCGGCTCCGGGTCAGCGCCTCTGGCCAGTATTAACCTGCCAGTAAGGGGAGGCCTGGTTTGGGGACGCTGGGCCGCCGGATTGCCCCCCCTCTGAGACTGTTCTGAATCCTTTGGATCCCTTACTGTAAATGGGAAATTAGCAGGGGCAGTTCCAGAGGCGAGAATGTTTAGCCCAGGAAGATTGACCCAAACGGAACCCCGTACCGGCTGCAGAGATTTTTTTTTTTTTCCCCCCCTAGGGTAGGGAGAACCGGCGTCGTAAGCCCCTCAGTCCTTTAAAGAGGGCTTCGCTCCATGACTTTTTATTCGAGTTCAGGAGAAAGTTAAAAAGTAGATCAATAGGGAAGATATTAGCAAGTGAGAAATGCACCCAAAGACAGTAACACCAGGTGAAGTGGTAGAAGATGGGGGGAGCGCCACTCTAAATCGGGTAAGGCTGTTTCGAGAAAGCCAGGTTTTGCGGAGATCCAAGAAAAGGGAGAACTGGCTAAAGAGGTTTCTAGGCGGAGAAAAAAGCCAGTAGGAAGTGTTCTGAGGAAGAAAATGCATGGCGGCCAGGTGGCTGGAACAGAGTGGTTTGTAATGGACAAGTGGCAGGCCCAGATCAAGCACAGCCTTTTAGCCCAAGGTAAGGGTTTGGTTATGTTACCGGACAGCTTTAAAAAGGGAAGTGACATGATCAGACTTACGTTTAAAAAAAAAAAAAAGATTTGTGGCTGCTGGTTGGAGAAGGGTGGAAGTTGTCAGACCTGTTAGGCTGCTTCAGTAGCCGAGGGAGAGATGAAGTCAGTGTTGCAGTAGCCATGGATTAAAAAACTGAGGGAGTTACATTCACAATGTATTATAAGAGCAAGTTTATTTAGAAACCTACAGAGGCAAAAGAAGGGCCTGGGAGCTTCGGAGAGAGAATGGCAAGGGTAACTGGCTTGAGGGGAAGAAGAGAGGGCAGGGAAAGGCCTGGGCTGAGAGGAAGAGCTGGCCCTCACTGTTATTTTGGAAGGAGAGCTTGTAGGACTTGCTGCTGAATTTGACTTGCAGTGGGTAGGAGAGGGAGAAACCAAGAATGGCTCCTAAGGGAAAACTATGAAGGGAATTATTACCTTATGTTTGCTTGTAAATATACTATGTTTGGTAAGTCTGTTAACCATCCAGGTGAAGATGTTAAAAAGTTGCTTATACAAGTCAGGGGAAAGGTCATAGAGATAATAAATGTAGGTAGGGGTTTATTTCTAGGTCACCTAGGGCCTCTCAACTTTTGGGGGCTCTTTACCCAGAGAAGGAGAAGCCTGCAAAGGAAACTCCTAACACAGACAAGTCCTAAAAGATATCTTGGAATAATAGGATCCACCCTCATAATCAGTGAGACTCATCTACCTGTAAGAGGGTGCAGCCAGGGGGCCCCCAAAAGAAGGATTTGTAATGGGGTCCAGAACTCAGGGTGTCCAGAAAATACTAAAAAATATGGGATGTCCTCACTCCCACCAGTCTGAGCTGGGGATGGGATCCATGGAGCAGGGCCATTGAGGTGTTTTGCATAGCCACAGTTTCACAGATAACCTCTAGAATGGTCATTCAACATATCTATAACCTTTTATGTAAATAGCTGTGGCCACGCTTTGAGCCAGGGAGATGGGGGTGACTTCCACACAGAATGTAACTGGGAGGCAACTCCCCCTGGTTACAGAATTTGTGTGAGAGCTTAGAGATAATTGGCTCCACCCATGGGGCCATACCTGCCCAGACTTAACTATGGAAGCCCAGAAAAGCTGGAAAATACTGGAGTGCTGGCCTGTTAGCCGATTGTGGGACCTATTGTGGGAGGAGTTGGAAAAGGGGCTGCAGAGGAAGATTAGAGCTGGGATTTAAACTTAGGTGCAGCAGCCACAAGAATCAGGAATCATCGCATGGCTTTGGCAGGGGAGAATCACTTGGCTTTGGGTCTCCCTTTGCCACACAGCTTAGGAATCTGGGAAGCAAGATGTAGCCTCGATGCAGAGCTCTTTCTTAGCTGTTTGGAAGAATGCAGGAGAAATGCTGCAAGAAGGAAGAGGGTGAAAGGACTCTTGTTGGTGGGCCATGAGAAGGTGCCATGTGGTTTTGGAATAAGAACTGGAGATTCTGACAACACAGCAGATGGTGCTGGGAACAGAGTGAGCAGAGGGAGGCCTACCAGCCAAGCATGGATTACTGGGAAGAACCAGGGGCAGCCTGAGCCATGGATTTCTATTTCTTTTCTTGAGATATGGTACCCCATACCAGGCAAAGGGGGGAAGGAAGGACTGTGTGTATTTATGGGTGTTTTAAGGGACTTTGGGATTTTGATGAAGACATTAAATCATTATTCTTAAGTCTGTATAACTTGAATAAATAATTTCTTTCCTTTTCACCAATCTCTAACGTGGAGAACTATAATTCTCTGGTGATGGGCAAGGTGAACCTAGTACAGGGGCACCCCAGGAAAAGGGTGTGTCAATTCGGTAATATTGTGGGACACCCCCCTTCCCTAGGAGCTAATCAGGGAAAATCATGGTAGACCACAAGCACAGCAGCCTTAAAGTAATATAACTACTTGCACATGCATAGTAAAAGCCCACCAAGACTAGCCAGAAAGGATCTTCCCTTTAAGAGTAGAGTCCCTCTAGCCTGCGACGTCAGTCTCTGCTTGGAGTTGGCCTGCTTCCATGTTCTCTGCGATAAATTCTGGGGGTTCTTTGTCCCAGTCACCAAGAACCTGGTTATCTCTGCCCACTTTGACACACCCACTAGCCAGCTTCTATTCATCCTTTAAGGTCTGGCTTAAATCTTGTCTTTCGATCTCCTGAGGGCATTGCATTTTGGTCTGGTGCCCACAGGATTTGTGCTCTTTGTAGCAAACCCAGCTTTGCTTGTTAATTGTTTATATATGCCTGTCTCCTCCACACACTATTTCTTTGTGTCCTGCTGGCTCCTAGTATAGAGCCTTACCCATAGCGTTAAACATGTGCCTATAGCCAAGTAGAAACAGTTTTCATAACATATCACATGTAGACTTAAACAGCTTCTGACAAGGGCTTTTGTCCCTGTTGCTGCCACTAGTGTCACACATTTAGATATGCTCAATCTCATCAAATTGAGAAAGTATCAGAAGAAGAATCAGAAGGCCTGGATTTCAGTCTTGGATCTGCTACAGATCATCAGAGTGGCCTTGGACAGGCCCTTTTCTTTGAGCAGAAGGGATTGGCCTGAATGGAGATTGCAAACTGGCAAGATAGATATTGCCTGCAAACATTTTGTTCAGCTCAGAAAGTGATTTGAATTTTCTGTAATCCTCATCAAGGGTATGTTTATTGATTTTTAGAGCGAGAGGAAGGGAGCAGTGGAGAGAGAGAAACAGATAATGTTGCCTCCCAACTGGAGATTGAACCCGCAACCTAGATATGTGCCCTAACCAGGAATTCAACTTGCAGCCTTTTGGTGTATGGGATGATGCTCCAACTGACTGAGCCACCCAGCCACAGTGATTTAAATTATTTTCTAATTTATTTGTCAACATTTAAATATTGGGCATCGGAGGCTTTTGATATCTTGCTCTCTGGCATGTTGTCAGTTTGGCTCAAATAAACTCATAAAAATTTAAATAAATAAAAAGCATTTTGTATCAAAATCTAGATTTTTGGCTTCATTCGAAAAATGAGGCAATCTGGCAATAGCATCCTGAGGTTCCTACATAGCAACAGTTACCTGGAGCCAAGAAGCTGCTTCCCTCTTTGTGATTTGGTGATCAAGTTTGTCTAAATGTCTCTCTCCTCCACTACCTACCTGGTCCCTGTGATTGGATTTGTAGTTCTGAGTCTAGAGCTGTCCATATGTAGCCACTAGCTACATGTAGCTACTTAAATTTAAGTAAAATTAAATTTAAAATTCAGTTCTCAAGTGCTAACCATATTTCAAGTGCCCAGTAGGTGCATGTGGCCAGTGGTCTCCCCCTTGAACAGCATGCGTACATAATATTTTCTGCTGGGGTCCAGCGTCCCCGAAGGATGGATGGTGCAGGCGACGAATGGTGAGTCAGACACCCAATTGGGTGCCGGAGAACAGCCAGCCTTTGTGGGTCTGATCGAACTCTCAGAGTTTGATTTAGGCTTTATTTTTATAGAGATTGTTACATAACATTAAAGGAACAGGTGCATGGCGTAGTCGGTTAAGCAGAAAAAAACAATATAGATTTTCCCCTGCCCTCGGGAAAAGTACAAGAATTTCCATAGTTTCAGTTATGTTAAACAAAGGTTGTTTTGACCAGGAGAGCCATTAATCAGACAATTAGAAATAGCTGTATGTACAAAGTTTAAATGTCTTGTTATTTATTAAAGTTCTTAGAATTTGGCATGCAGAGGTTTTAGGGAATTTATTATAAGGCCTTTGTAATGTCTAACTTAGCTATCTATCTTTCTGTCTAAAATGTTTCTTTGTGTAATATGGACTCTGACTCCTTGGTAATTGTTTCTACGTGCTTAGTTTGTAATAGCTAACCAGCTTCTCCTGTTTCTTTGCCTAATTCTAATTAATACATATTCTGGTCCAAGGTAGAGGAGGAGCTGTTACTCCATCAACTTTTAGATTTTCAGGAAGAGGAGGAGCTGTTACTCCATCAACTTTTAGATTTTCAGGAGCTACTTCATTAGGAGGGACTTTGTTCTCTGGCCAAGAAATTATTTTGTATAACTTCATTGGAATTATGCAGATCATTGGGAACTGAAATGCAGGTGTCTAAAAATCCCACTGCCTACTAATCGCAAAAACAAACATGCAAGGAGAGATAGACAGGAAATCCAGCCACAGTTGCTTCTGCTGTGCCGATGCATCTCATCCATCCTGACTGTGTCAAGGGACGCCTGCTGGTTGTCTCCCGACAATTTTCATCATTCAAAATGGAGCTAGATGGTACTCTGGGTGCTCATCATTCCACGCAGCTGAAAGTGGACTATCATTGTTCCTACTCAAGGAATTTTTGTGTGGTAAGGAGTTCAATACCCTGTAGATGAGACAAGTTGCTTCTTTAATAGTTATTTGATAATTGGAGGGTACCTGGAAACTGCCATGAAGGCTGGTGTCCCAGTGAAATTTATCATATGGTTGGATTAAGTTTATCATGTGGTTGGATCAAACCATTTATCATACAGTTGGATCAAGTCTCAGGTGCTAGAAAGCTTCAGCTATATCTAATGTTAAAACCAGAACTCCTCAGGAAATAATCCAAAATGAGGGGTCTAAATGTTAATTTGAATTTAAGTGTTCTCCAACTTCCCTAATTTCTGTGAAGAGTTGAAATCCTGGGTAGTTATGAATGAATGACGGGTTGATCTTCAGCATGGACCTAACCTAGTTTTCATTTATTTTCAGCACACACACCTGTGTGGGGGTGACTTTCCTCCCAAGTCCCCCCGTCTGTTATGGATGAAAGTAAACATGACTGAGACATGATGTGATCTGCTTGGGAAGGAGAGGTAGCCAGTTTCCCAGAGGAAAAAGGCCTTGAGCAGTGGCCAGTTTCTCAAGGGAAAAAGGCATTGAGCCCCCTCCTCCAGGGCCTTATATTGGGTTGTAATACAGAGGAATATAGGGCAGCAAGGATCAAACAGTCGATCACATTTCAAAGAAATCTGAGGGCTTGGTCTGAGTTAGAGTCTGTCAGGAAGAGAGTTTTAGGGTTTCCTGTTCGAACCCTTAACATATGAATGAAAGCGCTCTTAGCAGAGCAGATTTCACAGGTTTTTCAGGAAGTCTTTGTGATGCCAGATTTTTTTCCCCAGGACACACTCTTGCAAGGCAAGGAGCTGCACCCCTCCCCAACAGGTATTCAAGCTTAAGGGGATTAGAGCCAGGAAGTGCTTCTCCCAGAGGACATGGGGACTCCGGCTATTTCAAAGCCAGGGACAAGAGTCCATTGCTCTTTGTTGCAGCCCCCCCAAGTCCTTCCATGATGGCCTCTCAAGTGATTGTGTCTGGTCTAGGTTGCCCCTCCTCTGAGGGGTCTTACCCATTAAGGACTTCTGACCATGCTTTGGAGGCAGGGAGGAAACTGACACAGCATTTGCTACCAGAGACAAGCTTTGTCTCTTGCAGCTTGAATTCCAGAGGTCCTCACTTGCTCATCTTTAGCCACAGGGGGTAGAGTTACAATTTCTAAAACCAGGCAGAGTGGTCCACAACATACCTGTAACACCACTTCCTACTTGTGGTTACTGGTTCCCAACCCCTCTGATTGACCCCTTACCTTGTCTTTGTCTCAAAATACACAGATAAGGAAGCACATACTTCCGTTTCTTTTGACTTGGGGTTAGAAAGTTGGTTTTTCATTTAGAATTGTTACCCTGATGGGAAGAACACCTTTAAATTTCATGGTTAGAATAACCTGATTGGATCCCCTTACCAGTGCAGTCTTGCATGTTCCCATGTCCCGGAATATTTTAAATGAGTGTACTTCCTGGCTGGTGTGGCTCAATGGATTTAATGCCTGGCTGTGAATCAAAAGGTTGTAAGTTCAATTCCTAGTCAGGGCATGTGTGTGGGTTGCAGGCCAGGTCTCCAGTGGAGGGCATGTGAGAGGCAACCACACATTGATGTTTCTGTCCCTGTCTTTCTCCCTCCCTTCCCCTTTCTAAAAATAAATAAATAAAATCTTTAAAAAACAATTTAGAGTGAGTATACTTAACCCATAAGATCTTGTTTGAAGGAGTTTAAAAGTCTTTCAAAAGTAAGTATTTTTTTACTTTTCCCTATGTTCTGAAGATTTCCCATATTATAGGGCTTAACCTAATTAATTCCATTTCCTGTAGGTATAATAAAAACACGAGCTGCCCCCTGCCCCCATCTGACACACCATATTGTCACTTTCTGTGGAAAAATATACTGTCCAGAAAATAGCTGTGGTATGATTGAGTATGCCACAGCATCCTGAGATTTGCAAAACTGTGGCAATACAGTTCCCCCCTTTTTAAAAGATGGTATTTAATTATTTTTTGAGAGAGAAGAAGGGAGAGAGAAAGAGAAAGAAAACATTGTTGTACACTTGGCTGCCTCTCATGCCCCCCAAATGGGCACCTGGCCTGCAATCTAGGCATGTGCCCTGACCTCAGATGGAACCAGAGACCCTTTTTCTTTTAAATTGTTGTTCAGTTTCAGTTGTCTGCCCCCCCCCCACTGCATTGCTCTCCCCTGCCCCATCCCACCCCCCACTCCCAAAAACAATACCCTCATCACATGGGCTGCTCACCACTGTCCTTGTCCCTGGGTCCTTTGCACATGTTCACCTTCCTTCTCCTGACATCCCCTTTTCCCCCTCCCCTCTGGTCCCTGTCATTTAATTTTTTTATTTCAGTGTCTCTGGTTCTGTTTTGCTTTGTTTGTTTGTTTGTTTTGTTGATAAGGTTCCACTTACAGGTGAGATCATATGGTACTTGTCTTTCACTGCCTGGTTATTTCATTTAGCATAAAACTCTCCATTTCTGTTCATGCTCCTGTGAAGATTAACAGTTCCTTCATTCTGCTGTGTAGTATTCAATTGTGTACCACATTTTCACAATTTTTTCATCTACTCATTTATTGATTGGCACTTAGGTTGCTTCCAGCTCCTGGTTATTGTAAATTGTGCTGCTATGAACATTGGGGTGCAAAGGTTCTTTTGGATTGGTGTTTTAGGATCCTTAGGTTATACTCCCGCAGTGGGATTGTAGGAGGGTGCAGCCAGGGGGCCCCCAAAAGAAAGATTTGTAATGGGGTCCAGAACTCAGGGTGTCCAGGAAATATTAAAAAATATGGGATGTCCTCACCCCCACATGTCTGAGCTGGGGGCATGGAATACATGGAGCAGGGCCATTGAGGTGTTTTGCATAGCAACAGTTTCACAGATAACCTCTAGAATGGTCATTTAACATATCTGTAACCTCTAACTGGTTTCATAGATATGTTAAATAGCTGTGGCCATGCTTTGAGCCAGAGAGAAGAGAGTGACTTTCACTCAAGTTGTAACTGGGAGGCAACTCCCCAGCCCGCGTTACAGCACCTATGTGAGAGCTTGGAGATGATTGGCTCCACGCCATGGGGCCACACTTGCCCAGACTCACTATGGCAGCCCAATAAAGCTGGGAGGATGAAGTCCTGGCGGGTGTAGCCGATTGTGGGAGGAGTTGGAAATGGGACTGCAGTGGAAGATTGGCATGGGGATTTAAATGCAAATGTGGCAGCCATTGGAGAGAGAACCACTCACTTTTGGCCAGAATGGGGACTCTCGCATCCATGTGACAGAAAATCACCATGTAGCTTTAGGAGAGAGAACCATGCTGCTTTGGCCAGAGTGGGGGGACCCCCCCCTCCCGCAGCTGTGAGAAGAATCATGCAGCTTTAGCAGAGAACCACCATACGGCTTTCTATTTGTTTTCTTGAGATATGGTACCTTGGACTGGGCAAAGGGGGAAAGAAGGACTGTGTGTGTTTGTGTGTGTTTTAAGGGAGTTTGGGATTTTGATGCAGACATTAAGCCATTACTCTTAAGTCTGAATAACTTGAATAAATCCTTTCCTTTTTACCAGTCTCTAACATGGAGAGCTATAATTCTCTGGCCAAGGGAAAGGCGAACCTAGTGTCAACTAGGTAACATTGTGGGACCCCCCTTCCCTGGTGGCCAATCCGGGAAGACCATGGGAGACCACATGTGCAGTAGCTTTACAACTAGTTGTCACAGTAAAAGCCTGCCAAAACTATCCAGGAAGGATCTACCCTATAAGAATAGAATCCTTCCAGCCCATGAGGTCAATCTCTGCTTGGAGTTGGCCTGCTCCCATGTTCTCTGCTATAAACTCTGGGTGTTCGGTTCAAATCTTTGTCCTGATCACCAAGAACCTGGTTACCAGTGCCCACCTGTGACAGGATCACTGGATCTAAAGGCAGTTCCATCTTTAGTTTTTTGAGGGAATACCGTACTGTTCCACAGAGGCTATACCAGTCTGCATTCCCACCAATAGTGCATCAGGGTTCCCTTTTCTCCACTACCTCTCCAGCACTTGTTTGTTTTGTTGATTTGTTTATGATGGCCATTCTCACCAGTGTGAAGTGGTATCTTATTGTGGTTTTAATTTGCATCTTTTTGATGGCTAGTGATGTTGAACATCCTTTCATATGCCTATGGGCTCTCTGTATGTCCTCCTTGGATAAGTGTCTGTTTCAAGTCTTTTGCCCATTTTTTTAAATTGGATTATTTGTTTTTCTGGAGTGGAGTCCTATGAGTTCTTTATCTGTTTTGGAGATCAGACCCTTGTCCAAAGTATCATTGGCAAAAATATTTTCCCATATGTTTGGTTTGTTTTTCATTTTGCTGATGTTTTCTTTTGCTGTGTAGAAGCTTTTTTAATTTGATGTAGTCCCATTTGTTTATTCTTTCCTTTATATCCCTGGCCCTACGAATATTGGTGAAAATATTGTTGTGTGGGATATCTGAAATTTTCCTATGTTTTCTTCTAGGACTTTTATGGTGCTGAGACTTATATTTAAGTCTTATATCCATCTTGAGTTTATTTTTGTGTATGATAAGTGTTGGTGGTTGAGTTTCATTTTTTTGTACGTAGCTGTCCAGCACTCCCAAAACTCTTTATTGAAAAGGATATCTTTCCTTCATTTTGTGCTCCTGCCCTCTTTGTCAAATATTGACCATAGAGACTTGGGTTTATTTCTGGACTCTCTATTCTGTTCCATTGGTCTGTGTTTCAGTTCCTGAGCCAGCACCATATTGTTTTGATTATAGTGGCCCTGTAACACAGTTTAATATCAGGTATTGTGATCTTTCCTACTTTGTTCTTCTTGCTCAAGATTGCTGCAGCTATTTGTGGTCATTTATGGTTATATATTAATTTTTGAAATATTCTATATTTTTGAAATATGTCATTGGTATTTTAATAGAGATTGTGTTGAATCTATAAATTGCTTTGGGTAGTATGGACATTTTGATGATGTTAATTCTCCC